GTGTGTACTATCTTCAAGGTGCACTGCAGAAATTCACCAACGACCCTCAGACAGCACCTTCCAAACCCACGGCTACTTCCACCTAGAAGGACAAGGGCAGCAGATACATGAGAACACCAGCCCCTGCAACTTTCCCTCCAAGCCACTCACCATTCTGACTTGGAAACATATCACTGTTCCTCAGTGTCACTCGATGGAAATCCTGAAAATCCCTTCCTAACAGCACTGTGCCACCAAATGCGCTGCATTGTCCTGGATGGTGTCAAGCTTTTTGAGTGTTGTTCGAGCTGTACCCATCCAGGCAAGTGGGGAGTATTCCATCACGCTCCTGACCTGTGCCTTGTAGATAGAGATAGTGGACAGGCTTTGGGGAGTCAGGTGGTGAGTTATTTGCTGCAGTATTCCTAGCCTCTGACCTGCCCTTGTAACCACTGCATTAATATGGCACCTTTACTTGAGTTTCTGGTCAATGGAAAACCCCGCCCCCCACCAAGATGTTGATAGTGGGGGATTCAGTGACGGCAATAGCCCTGAATGTCAAGGAGTGGTTGTTAGGTTGTCTCTTATTGGAGAGGATCGTTGCTGGTCTTTTGTGTGGCGCGAATGTTGTCACTTGCTACTTGTCACCCCAAGCCTGGATATTGTCTTGCTGCATTTGAACATGTTCTGCTTCAGTATCTGAGGAATCACAAATGGTGTTGAACATGGCGCAATCAGCAAACATTCTCACTTCTGATCTTACAATGGAGGGAAGGTCATTGATGAAGGAGCTGAAGATGGTTGGGCTGAGGACACTATCCTGAGGAACTCCTGCAGGGGTGTCCTGGAGCTGAGATGAGTGACCTCCAACAACCACAACCGTTTTCCTATGTGTCAGGGATGACTCCAGCCAGTGGAGAGCTTGCTCCCAATACCCACTGATTCCAGTTTTGCTTCTTGATGCCACAGTCGGTCAAATGCAGCCTTGAAGTCAAGGGCTGTCACTCTCATCTCACTTCTGGAATTCAACTCTTTTGTCCATGTTTGAACCAAGGCTGGAATGAGGTCAGGAGCTGAGTGACCATGTTTGAACCAAGGCTGGAATGAGGTCAGGAGCTGAGTGACCCTGGTGGAACCCTTTGTGTATACAGGACATACCATGGCAATTTGCCACATTGTCGGGTAGATGCCAGTGTTGTAGCTGTACTGGAAAAGCTTGGCTAGGGGAGTGGCAAGTTATGGAGCATATGTCTTCAGTACTATTGCCAGAATGTTGATAAACCCCATGGCCTTCGAGGGCCATGTCTCCAACATTTCTTGATATCACATGGAGTAAATCAAATTCATTGAAGACCGGTATCTGTAACACTGGGGACCACTACAGGAGGTCGAGATGAATCATCCACACAATACTTCTGGCTGAAGATTGCTGTGAATGCTTCTGTCTGATCTTTTGCACTGATGTGCTGGGCTCCCCCATCATTGAGGATGGGGATATGGGTGAAGCCTCCTCCTCCAGTGAGTTGTTTAATTGCCCACCACCATTCACGATGTGGCAGGACTGCAGAGCTTGGATCTGATCCAATAGTTGTGGGATCACTTAGCTCTGTCTATCACTGGCCGCTAATTTGTTTGGCATGCAAGTAGTCCTGTTTGGTAGTTTCAATAGGTTGACATCTCATCTTCAGGTATGCCTGGTGCTGCTCCTGGCATACACTCCTGCACTCGTCATTGAACCAGGGCTGATCAACTGGCTTGATGGTAATGGTTGAGTGGGGGATATGCTGGGCTACAAGGTTGCAGATTGTGCTGAAGTACAATTCTGCTGTTGTTGATGGCCCACAGAGCCTCATGGATGCCCAGTCTTGAGTTGCTAAATCTGTTTGAAGCCTGTCCTATCTAGCACGGTGATAGTGCTACACAACACAATGGAGGTTATTCTCAATGTGAAGGCAGGACTTTGTCTCCACAAGGACTCTGCAGTGGTCGCTCTTACCAATCCGGTCATGGACAGATACCAATCTGCCGGCTGCAGATGCAAGGATGAGGTCAGGTTTGTTTTTCCCTCTTGTTGGTTCCCTCACCACGTGCTGCAAACCCAGTGTAGCAGCATATGACCTTTAGGACCCAACCAGTTTGATCAGTAGTGTTGTTGCCAAGCCACTCTTGGTGGTGGACATTGAAATCCCCCACCCAGAGTACATTCTGTGCCCTTGCCACTCTCAAGTGTTGTTCAACTTGGAGGTGCATTAATTTATCAGTCAAGGGAGGATGGTATGTCGTAATCAGCAAGAGGTTTCCTTGCCCATGTTTAATCTGAACCCATGAGACATCATGAAGTTATGAGGTCCAGAATCAATATTGAGGACTCCGAGGGCAACTCCCTCTGACTGTATCCCACTGTGCCGCCACCTCTGCTGGATCTGTCCTGCCGATGGGACAGGACATATCTAGGGATGGTGATAGTGGCATCTGGGACATTGCAAGGTCTGATTCTGAGAGTATGACTGTATTAGGCTGTTGCTTGACTAGTCTGTGAGACAGCTCTCCCAATTTTGTCACTAGCCCCGGGATGTTAGTAAGGAGGACTTTGCATGGTCAACAAGGTTGTTTCTGCCGTTGGCTTTGCCAGTGCCTTGGTCTATGCCAGGTGGCCCATCTGGTTTCATTTCTTTGATGAGACTTAGTAATAACTGATAAAACAGACTGGTTTGTTGAGCCATTTCAGAGGGCAGTCGAAATTCAACCACATGGCTGTGGGTCTGGTGTCACATGTAGGACAGACCATGTGAGGAAGGCAGATTTTCATCCCTGAAGAACATTAACGAACTAGGTGGGTTTTTCTGTCAATCAACAATGCTTTCATTGTCATCAGTGTATTCTTAATTTCATATTTTTAACAACTGAATTCAAATTCTACCATGTGCCATGGGGACTCCATTCGAACCTAGGACCCCAGAATATTAGCCGAGTTCCTGGACTAATAGTTTAGCAATAATACTGCTAGGCCATCGCCACCTCCTTGGATGTTGGAACCATACGAATGAGGAAGAAGAGCAGGCCACTCGACCCTTCAAACCTGCTCAACCATTCAATATGATCATGGCTGATCTGATTTTAATCTCAACCCTACATTCCTGTGTATCCCCAATAATGTTTCATCCATTTGGTAGTCCCACTTCAGGCACTTAAAAAGCATCAAAGTAGTCGATAAAAGTACTTAAAACACTGCAGCTGTTAACGGAGCATATACAGACCTAGCAGGGAACACTCTCCCCTCCCCCCGGACCCCTGCCATGGACATTCAGTTGTATCAACTCTCAGTTGTTTCCAGTCGAGCAGAATACAAAGTATAGAGAACTGAAAAAGGAAATAAAGTGGGATTGACGAGTTATAAGCTCAGCAACATAAAAGGAATACAAGAGTTTAATCAGCAAAGTGAAAGAAAGAAATAAGTGCATTTATATGGTGCTTTACACAAAGACTGGACCTCTGAAAATGCTTTACAGCAAATTGAGTGCTTTGGAAGTAGTCACTGTTGTAATGTTGGAAACAGTGCAGCCCACATGCACACAGCAAACTCCCACAAACAGCAATGCAATTATGGCCCAAATAACCTGGGATATTTTTGTGATGTTGAGGGATAAAAATCAGCCGAGACACCATAAGCAGCAGGAACAGGAGTAAGCCGTTTGGCCCCTCGAACCTGTTCTGCTATTCAATAGGATCATGGCTGATCCAATATTCCTCATGCCCACTTGCTTGCATTTTTCCCCATAACCCTTTATTTCCCTGCTGATCGGGAATCTATCTCAGCCTTAAATGTACACAAGGACTCTAGCCCCACAGCTCTCTGTGGCAAGAGGTTCCAAACCCTCTGACATAAGAAATTCCTCCTCATTTCAGTCTTAAATCAGTGCCCCTTTATTCTGGGACTACGCCCTCTGGTCCTAGAGTCTCCCATGAGGGGAAACATCCTCTTGGCATTTACCCTGTCAAGTCTATAAGTCAACCTTAAGAAACTTATACATTTCAATTAGATCACCAGGGATAACTCCCGTACTCTTCTTTGAAATAATGCCATGAAATCTTTTAGATTCAAACAGGCAGATCGGTTCTCAGTTTCACATTGCATCTGAACTAATGTACCCCCAACAATGCTGCACTCCCTCAGTACTGCACTGAAATGTCAGTCTTCGTTTTTGTGTTCAAACACTGGGGAGTGACTGAACGCAGAACTTTGTTACTCAATGAATATAGTGTTACCAACAGAGCCATGGCTGACAAAAACAAATGGCAAAAGGTTAAATTAAGATTAATCAAACAGGGTTGATTAAGGACCAAAAACAAAATTTGTGGGGGCAAAGGACACAACTGTGGTATTTTATCAACACTTTGTAGTGGAGGCAGTAGAGCCATCACATAGCACTGCAACAATGAAGAGGAAAAATTTTACAGATTGACTGTCCTCAAACTGATTCAGTCCAGATGATGTGCATTCTAAGTCGCGGGAAGTCAGGGTGGAAACTGCAAAGTGAATGTTACGACCATGTTTTACGAATGAGTAAAGGATAAACACAAGAATCACAGACAAGTCAGGCCAATGTTGGTAGTGGGGAAACTTTTAGATACAAAAATTTACTTGCCATTTGGAAAGACATGACAATAAATGACAGCCAGCATGAATTTATTCAAGGCAAATCAGGTCTGGCAAATTTGATTGAATTCTTCAATAACATGACAAAGTGTTGTAGGGAGTGAGGCGGGTATGCATCCGAATTTTCAAGATAATGTACCACATAATAAATATGTCAGAAAAATAGAAGCTGAGAGATTAAAGGGGCAGTGTCTATGTGTAAAGAGAAATAACCTAAGGGACAGGGATTTCTGTTGTGTCTTTAACCTACTGCATTGCTGTATTGATGGAACATTTTGTTTCATTCATAGTAGCACTTGACATGTGTTGCACTCAATTTTGTGCATTTCAAGAAATAAAGTTACAAATCAGAAGGACAACTCACCTTTAAGCTGGGAATGGTGCACAGCAAACATGTTTATAGCCATGAGCTGCAGCATGCGGGTATTACCAAGGGGGGATGGACTATGTTGAAGCAGTGCTCGGAACTCCTTCAGAACATTTGCAGCCACTGAAGGAAAGGTCTCCATCCTACAATAGAAAGACAGAAATAATTTGCATTTATACAGCACCTTTCAAAACCACAGGATGCTCAAATGTTCATTAAAGCTAATTAAGTATGAAAATCCAGTAGCTAATTTGTGCAGAAAAAAATCCCACAAAGAAAATCCATGTTAATGAATTTGGTCAAGGATAGTCAGGCCACCAGAAAGAATTCCTCTGCTTTACTTAAATCGTGCCCTTAAATATTTTACACCCACTTCAGATGGCTCTCTACCACCTTCACATGGGCAATTAAGAATGGGCAATAAAAGCTGGCCCAGCCAGTGGAGCAGATATCCCATGAATGTACAAAGAAATCACAACCGTTTGAATAACCGAACATCATGTTGATAGAAGTTTGGGTAGAAACAGAATATTGGGAACAGTCCCAGAGAGCGAAGGGTGGGAAACAGAACAAATTTTTCAAAAAGAGAAATAGGGATCAGCAAGGAAATCGCAGCCCAGTTATGCTTATCCAAGTAACTGACAAATTGTTCAAGTTTGTAATATTGGATGAAATTACTGAGCAACTAAAATTAATCTAGATGAAACATCATGATTTCTGAAGGGCAGGTTACACTTGACCAAACTAAAAGCATTACTGCAAAAATACAAAGGGTAAAGGAAATACTGCGTATATTTTTATCTAGATCTTCAAAAATATTTTGAGAAGCTTAAACAAAGAGATATGGTAAAAATAATAGTACATCAAGTTAAAGAGAAGGAGATGGAGCAATGATTCAAAGGCAACAAAGTATTGGTATGGGTAATGGAAGTTTCTATAAATGGAAAGATGTAATGAATTAAATTCCACTTGAGTCTGAGCAGGGCTGCTCTTATTTAGTTTGAACTTGGCAATCAAAACAATGTTGAAATTTGACAATAATAAATTTTAAGGGGTTGGAGCTTACAAATTATGGCCAAGAACATGAAAAACTGTTGAGAAATGGGCAAAGAAATGGAAGATACAACAGTGGAAAAGGAAGATACATCTCAGATGATGAGATTTTAAGTGGAATGTCAGTGTGGTAGCATCATGGCTATGCTATTGGACTAGCAAACCTGAGACTGGACTAATGTTTTAGAAACTAATTCAAATTCTACAGTGGCAACTGGAGAATTTAAATTCAATTAGATAAAAATCTGCAATAAAGAACTAATCTCTGCCAATATAAGAACAAAAGTAACAGAGTGTTGTTAGAACTCATTTGGTTCACTAACGTGCTTCAGGAAGGGAAATTTGTCATGCCTATCCTGTCCTGTCGCTACATGTGACTCTAGACCCACAGCAATGTGACTGGTTCTTAACTTTGAAATCACCTAATAAGCCACTCAACTATTTCAAACTGCTATGAAAGGCCCAATTATAATAAAAACACACCTATCACCTGGCATTGACCCAGGCACCAGATGTAGAAAAGGCAGATCCTACCAATCAATCCTGCAAAGTTCTCCTCACTCACATCTGGGGACTTGCAACAAAATCGGGAGAACTATTACATAGACTAAGCCAATTATCTAGACTCCTCCACTGCCATCCCTGAATATGTTCTGTTTAACTGGCGTGACAGATTAACCAGACCTGGCAGCACCGTGGTACAGTCAGGAGGAAGTGGACCCGGCAGTCCTCAATATATCTCTGAACTCTTAAAGTGTCATGACATCAGATCAAATATAGACAAAGAAACCTCATGCCAATTACTGCCCATTCATTCTCTGATGAATTAGTGCTCTACCACGTTGTACACCACTTAGAAAAAACAGAGAAAAAAATTTAAAGGAAAATTTAAAAAGTAAAAAAAAACCAAAACATTTTTAAAAGTCGAGGAAACGGAGGCCAGCAAAGGCACAAAAGTTATCCTGGGTGGAGACTTTAATGTCTATGTGAATTGATAGTGGCTTTCCTAGATACCAAAGGAAGAAGCACGGAACCCTGCAAAATTGAAGTCAATAGGAATCAAAGGAGAATACCCTCCTAACTAGCAGCACTATGGGAACTACATGGACTACAGTAGCTCACCAACACCTTGTCAAGGATTATAACAACAGACAACTGTGTTCACATTCCATGAACAAATAAAAAAGGAGAGAGGATCCTTGGGGTGCAGAAAAAAAACCATTAAAAGATCATAGCAGCACAGACAGACAGACAGGATCATGGAACAATCAATGCAATACGTACTTTGCATCGAGAGACACATAGTACAATAACAAGTTATCAATATTGAACTTGCACAGGACCTTAGAAAGGGTGCAGTTGAGATTTTGAGCCGCAACGGAGAAGGTTAACCTGACAAAGATCTTAAAAGAGTATAAAAAATTTTGGTAATTTAAATGGTGATATGCAGTTTCCATTGGGCTCAGCGATAACAAAGTTGGGACACAAACATAATCCCAAAAACAGACCAAAGGAGACATTAAAGAGTAGTTCCTTACAGATGGGTTGAGGGGATCACGGAATTCCCTACCATCAACCATTTCTGAAGTTAGGTTCATAGGCTTTCTCAAAAAAGCAACATAGAAATAATGCCTGTGAAAGGTTAGAGTACAAGGAGCAGGAAAATGAAATTAGGTGAGGAATCTGCTAAAGGGAAAGTCACAATACAGATGCAAGAAGATTGTTACACATGGCAGAGAGAGTTGAACTAGGGGACACAGTCTCAGAATAAGAGACAGGCAATTTAGGACTGAGGCGAGAAAGAATTTCTTCACTCAGGGAATGGTGAATCTTTGGAATCCTCAGATAGAGGCTCCGTCATTAAGTATGCTCAAGTCAAAGACTGACAGATTTCTACAGATTGAAACTTCAAGGGATACAGAACATAGCAGGTAACGGTGTTAAGCAGAAAATCCACCAATGATAACACTGAATGGCTGAGCAGCTCAGGGGCTGAAAGGTGTCACCCTGCTCCTAATCCTTATGCTGCAAGAATGATGCGTTTCTGTAGATTGTGATCTTTGCCTTCACCTATACCCAATATTCTACACTGAATCAGACTATAGCGTTGTCCTTTTACCCTTTGGCACCACAACTGACTTCATGCAGAAGGCTCCAAGTGATGCCAACTGAAAAGACTGTCTCATGTCTGCCCTGTCTTTGAATCCAGATTCCAATCCTTAAAAGTCGTTGGCTAGCCCAGTATCCCATCCACCACCACCACCACCACCGTCATTTCCATCTTCAAGTTGTATATTTCCCCCAATCAATGTTCTTACATAGCATGTATTTCATCAGTATGCCCCTCAAAAGTGGAAATGGTTTTGATAAATAATTTGTCTATATTCAAAGCGCTGTTCTGACAGCAATTACACATGGGATCTCCATGTCGCTAGCAAAGACAACTCTCTCTTATGTTTATCCATATCCTGCCATCTCTCAGCCACTGCTCATAACAAAGCAGATTTTCATTGTCAACTTACAAATTACTTCTAGCAACTGAGCAAATCTCCTCAGCTACATCAATCACTTGCATAGATAGAGAGAGAGTAGGGTGATTACTACATCACTTCAGAAGACAAAGAAGGTGATGAAAGTGACTTTGATGTTATGAATTTTTGTAATGGAAAATTTGGCAATGCAATCTGCTTTATATTAAAAAAATGAATTCAGTTCCCATCAGAGAGCTATCTATTTCTCCAACTTCAAAGTATAACACAACCTAAATCCAACAGTCACACACACATCAAAGGTGCAAGTATCTGAATTACAACTCACCTGTGCCATCATATGCATTTAAACCTGAATCTCGGCTGAGCAAGTGCCATGGTATTCCAGCCTAACATAAACTCTAGCTCTTTGGTTGTTGCCAAGTTGTCAAGTGCAGTTGAGAACAGATAAACACATACCGGATCCAAACACAATGCTGATCCAAGTATGAAAATTCCAACTCTCAATTTCTGCTCACTTCCATTACAATGAAATTCTGATTCATTGGGCTTGCTGGCAGGTCTGCTGAGTCACAGCCCTGAGCAATCAATCAGAACAGTGTAAACACTAACATTATCTCACTTCAGTGGCAAACTGCAGTTTTGGTTATCAACTACACCTCAAGTACCAATTGCATTTCATTTTGCATACCATGTTACAGATACACACTTATTACCCAGAGTCACTGACATACTGATGACGTTGAACCTGCAATAACAGGAGTGGAGTCTTCACCTCTTTCTCAGAAGTTGGGCACTTCCAGCATGGCCATTTTATTGGTCATTCCTAGCAGCCCTGACAAAATGATGAACTCTTTTCTTGGACCAAAGCATTTTTGATGATATCCTATATCACAGTAGCTTTCTAGGCCACTTTAGAAGTCAGAATCAAGTACATTATAGGACTGGAACCATGTACAAGCCAAACAGAATAAGCCAAACCTTTCCCAAAGGGCATTAGCAATACAGTTGAGTTTTTACAATAAAAAGAACAGCGTTCATGATTATTTATTTTCTGGTGTACATCTCCTCAAATTATCAAATTTATTGACTTACATTTCATCATTTGTGTTGGAGAAATCTGAATTTGAGACCTCTGGAATTGTAGTTCTAGTCTAATCATTATCAATATACTTTATACTTAACAGTGTCCTCATTCACTGCACCTTCGCAATCAGGAGCATGATACTACTTATAACAAAACCAAAATACTACAGATGCTGTAAACCAGAAGCAGAGAATGCTGGAGAAACTCAGCAGGTCTGGCAGCATCTGTGGATAATGAAACAGAGTTAACGTTTCAAGTCCAATATGACTCTACTTTCAAGCCGAAGAGGAGCTCTGCCAGGCTCGAAATGTTAACTCTGTTTCTCTCTCTACAGATGCCACCACACCTGCTGAGTTTCTCCAGTGTTCTCTTTGTTTGTAGCATGAAACTACTTGACTGATTTAATATCTATAGCCAAAATACACTCATCCTAATTTTGAAAAGAACCAGCATTGGTGGGAGGCTATTCTTTGTATCTGATACTCTGATATAAGCAATTCTCAGCCCTTGGGCA